GGAGGAATCAAGTTTTAAAACAGAATTTAAAAAAAAAAAAAAAAAAACAATTTTATTTCTTTGTACAATTGCCATCCTCTGTAAAGCCGAACTTTGTGTCGAGTTGAAGATTGTCATGGAATAAAGATCACACAGTACTTGAGGCCATCTTCACGTAACCCTCTCTAGAGAGTTTTGTGTGGGGGTGTCTCGGGCTGGTCTGTCGTGAAGCTGTGCACTTCTCGTCTTGTCTCACTGGTAACTGCGGCACAGGGCTCGGGCCCAGGAACCAGACGGGGGGGCCCCCCAGAACAGGCTCCAGCACCCTTCCCCCCCACAGACCCTTCCATCGCCTGGTCCAGGGGGCGGGGGTTTGCCCCGTACCTCCCGCCGCCTCCCCACCTAGACACCCCAGCGCCCGCGAGGCGCCCCGGAGATTGGCCCCGAGATATTCCGTGTGGCCTTGCCCAGGCAGCTGAGACCTGCTCCCTGCGACCCTCACAGGCCCACTGCACTTGGTCCCCACAACCACCGCCTCCTGTGGCCTCCGCTCACAGCCCACGCACGGGCAGACAGGGAGGGCTTGGCGCCGTCTCTCTAACGTGGTACAAAAAAATAACGCTTGTTGTCAGGCTGCCCCTGCCCTGGCCAGCCGGTGTCCGGGCACGTCACCGAGGCTGCCCTAGTCCATCATGACGTGGTGGCCCCGCTTCCTCCCTGGGTCCCCGCAAAGGCAGGCCCCGCGTGTGAGCAGCTGCCCCCAGCCACGCTGGCACCGTCCCCTCCTCACACTGGAACGAGATACCCAGGCTGTCCCCACCTCTGCACGTCCCGCCCATGAGCGTCCCTCCCAGGATTCCACACTCCTGCCCAGGGAGTCCTGAGCCCTGTGTCCTGGCATCCAGGTTCGGGCCGGGCCTCCGGCTCCCGTCCTCCGTCACTGCCCTTCGCCGTTCGTACGAGGACATGTGTCTGTAGCCGCCGAGGTCTGTGTCAGTGTCTTGTCTCTTGCATGGAGTGGTGAGCTCTCGCAGGGCACGGGGTCCTTCCCCCCCCTTCTTCCGTGGCACCCAGAGGCCCATAGGCACCGCCTTAGCAATGCCAGCCCTCCGCAGAGCAGCTCTAAGCAGACGCGGCCTCCCCGTGGGCAGGGCTTCTGCCCTCTGACATCAGCAAGAGCTAGCACCCCGCAAGGCACTCCTGCTGAGCCAGGGGGTGCCCTACAGTACCTCTCAGTGGCAGGAGTCCCAAAGGCACCGAACCCTGGGGTCCACCTCCCTCCTGTGGGCGGCGTCTGTGTCACCTGCCCACCGAGAGCCCCAGCCAGGGTTCCAGTCCCTCTCGGGGGTTTGCACATCCTCCGTGTTTGGCAAGGGGTACCCAGCTGGCAGAACCTCGGCGTAAACTCGGGGAGCAGGGCAGAGCCAGGCGTGTAGGTTCTCAGAGGCACCCCGGACACAGCTATGCAGCACAGCACCCAACCACCAGCCTCTGAGGAGCCAGGGCACGCGCTGCCCTTCCCTGGCAGGTCATTGACCGCGGTCCAGAGTAGGGGTATCTGTGAGGCCCGTCTACCCCCACGAGGGGAGGCCCCATCGCTAGCATGGCAGCGAGCTCCTGCCTCGTTGGTTCCTGGTTCTTTGCGGGGAGAGCGGGGGGCCAGCCGGCGGCCTCCTCCCTTCCTTCCTTCGCCGGCGTGCCCCATGCTGCCAGCCCACGCTGCGTTGCCACTTCTCAGCCCGATCCTTGCCCTTCCATCCCGTGGCTCTGTGGCCCATTCGTGCCTGGCCCAGCCCGAACTGCGCATCTCTGCTTCCCCTGGGAGGGCGAGAAGGAGGGCGCTTGGAGGCCTCCAGGTCGCTACATTTTAGCCATGGCCCCCTGGCGCAAGTCCCCTCGCTTCTCAGAGCTTCCCTTTTCCCACCTCACAAGAACACACTCACCTCAGACACGATAGGTTGTTCCAGAAGAGCGTGAGGGTCCCACCATCGACCGGGCAGGCACCCGGCCGTCACGGGGTTCCGCAGGCACCGCCAGTCGGGGTTGCCACGGTTCAGCCTCCCGCACTGCCCTGGGTTCGCCTGTCAGAGCGTGCTGGGGTGGGCTCTCCTCCCCCTGTTCCTGCACACCCTTTCCCTCCCCACAATGGCTGGGGCGGCCTGGACCCATCCTGGCTGCCCTCTCCGCGTCACCGGCCTTCGAAATGTTCCACCCTCCGTGTTCATCCTCCCCGCGGCTGAGGCCAGCTCCCGTCGTTCTCCCCGAGAACCTCACCACCTTGTGTTTTTCTCCGCAGAGATGGCCCCGAAAGCAAAAAAGAAGTGTCACCCCGGGAGGGAGCAGAAGAAGGTACGTGGACGCAGGGGTGATCCCCTCAGTTAGCCGGGGCCTCCTGGGTGGCTGGGCCCCAGGAGGTC